AGAGAGAGAGAGAGAGAGAGAGAGAGAGAGAGAGAGAGAGAGAGAGAACAAACACTGTATGATCGATGTGCAGGTTGAAGAGGGGAAAAGCTTGGACCCAGTGGTGCACACTATGAATGACTTACACAATACGTGAAACTAGCTTGCCGTTGTGTCAACCAACCTTCCACTGTCCTATCCGTCAAGAACATTTCCCTTCCAGGTTTAACGCCCGTCCACCATCCTTGTGAACTCGCAAGTTTTTCCTCTTGTTCGCAAAGGAGATCAGCTTCTGCTTATCTGATTCCCGTGCTTGGTTCCTTGTATGGATCCCTGAAACAGTACACTGCTGGCTCATCTGGACCACTGCGTCACCTCATTTGGTCGGCGTTTGCTGCGGAGGTGGCTGGTCCGACCATTGTATAAAGTCTCCTCAATTGTGCGGCGCCAGGATGCAGTTTCTGATTTGAAGGTGAGTTTGTTGTCCGGTTGTGCCCATCGTGACATGACCCAGCCCCCGTCCCCTAACCTGCACTCTTCTCTTTTTCCCCCCCCTCTTTAAGTGTAATAGTTTCCAGTAACTTTCCACTGATTTCTTTTCTGAGAATCTTTTTTCTTTCAAAATTTCATGTTCGTCTAAGCTAATCTCTATTAGTTAAGTTTTGCTATTATTTCGGGGGAATATTTCCAAAATCCCACTTTTCCGTTGATTTGCGATTCGCCCTTCCGACGGCCGGCTTACCCTGATTTGCCCCTGAGGCCTCTGAACTTTTGTGCGGGCCACTGTCAATGAGGGGAGCAACTTTTCGGAATGCCCCTACCGGACCCCCGGTCCCTTTGCCCCTGGTGCCTGTCTGATTTGCCCTTGCGGGGGGATGCATCTTTCTGAGGTGCCCTTCAACACAGAGGCTCGAAGAATTCGAATTCAAACTATGTAGTTTTTCACACTGCGGTGAAAATAACAGGGCTCCACTCCATGAAAATAACAGGGACCAGGAGGGCGAAGGGAGGGGTGAGAACCATCTTCATCCAACTCCATCCCCGTAGCTACGGCGTTCATCAGACCGCAGCCTGTTCCAGCAGACACGTTGGCCCCTTCGTACTCCATCCCTTCGTACTCCATAGCCATGCTTCTGGTGCTCGTTCCTACTCCTCCTCCTCCTTCTTCCTCCCCACCTTGGCTTCTCTCTCTCCTCCCATGTCTTCCTCCTCCTTCACTACTTCCCCCATCGCTTGACATCCGAAACTTCCTCCGTCCTCCTCTTCCCACTTCTCCACCTCGTCCTTCTTTTCCCTCTCCTCCTCATTCGCAACATCCCTCGCATCCAGGTCTAGCCCTATCGCCCTGGCCGACGCAGTTCCTCGTACAAGTATACACGTTTACACGTTCATGCTCACACATGTATAGCTCCGGCGGGCGCAGTTCCTCGTGCACGTGTGTCCTCACAAGCAGGTATACACGCAGACACATGTGCATGCATGCACGTATGCATGCACAACCTCGTGGGATTGGTTGCTCGGTTGAGTATTTGCAAGACTGTCATGCAAATGGGGGTTTTCATTCACTCTCTCTCTCTCTCTCTGTTTTCCGTTGCTTTTCTGCCACGAGCGGATGCACATGTGTGAGTATCGGTAGGGGCATATGGAAAATTGTTATGCTGGTACTCAACGGCTATCCGGTAGGGGCATACTGGAAATTTGGTACTGGTACTGGTAAGGGCATATTGAACATATTTCAGGCCCAAATGACGCCAGGGATTTTTTGGAAACTTGAATCGTTGTCAGAGGGGCAAATCAGGGTAAGTTAGACGTCAGAGGGGCAAACCGCAAAAAACCAGAAATTTCAGGGGCATTTTGAAGAATTTCCCATGTTTTTTACTTTTGTCACGTATATATATATATATATATATTCTGTTTGTGACGATATATTTTGTGACGATATATATAATATTATATATATGAATGGTCCTGTGACTCTTGTTTCTGTTTTTCTTTTAAGGTTATGCGGGTTGAGGGTCAGGATCTAGCTTTAGTCAATGGACAAAACAATTGGTCTACTCGCAATTCTTATTGGCTCTTCCAGTCCGCTGTCAATGCAAGCTGGATTGTATAAACCAGGGAAAATGTGGAAGGGCAGAGAGTAGAAGAGAAGCTTTTGAAGTTCAAACCACCCTGAACCGTCCGGAAGGTGCCAGTGAACAAGAAAGCAAAGCAATACGAAGTAATTGATGCTAAGGCGCCAAGGCAAAAACTCAAATGAAGGGTAATGGGAACCTTCAGCGATTAGTCCCAAGTTTGAAGAAATGGCAAAACAGTGTGTGGAAGTTTTGATCTCTGAAATTCATCTATGTGCGTGAGGGTCATGAATCTTATGATCCGGTTCAATATCACCTGGCTGGTGGCTAAATGGTAGTATTGACCGAGGGCGACGGGTTCAAATCATACTTGTGCACAATATGTTTGCATACTTTGCAAAGTGAGCACAATTTCTTCTTCTTCTTCTTCTTCTTGTGGTTGTGGTTTTGGTTGCTGCTGTGGCGACTGCTGCTGCTGTTCGTCTTCTTCTTCTTCCGCCTACTCTTCTTCTTTTTCTTCTTCCTCCCATTCTTCTTCTTCTTCTTCTTCTTCTTCTTCTTCTTCTTCTTCTTCTTCTTCTTCCTTTTCTTCTTCCTCTTCTTCCTCTTCTTCTTCTTCTTCTTCTTCTTCTTCTTCTTCTTCTTCTTCTTCTTTCTTCTTCTTTCTTCTTCTTCTTCTTCCTCTTCCTYTTCTTCTTCCTCTTCTTCCTCTTCTTCCTCTTCTTCCTCTTCTTCTTCTTCCTCTTCTTCCTCTTCTTCCTCTTCTTCCTCTTCTTCTTCTTCCTCTTCTTCCTCTTCCTCTTCCTCTTCTTCTTCTTCTTCTTCTTCCTCTTCTTCTTCTTCTTCTTCCTCTTTCTTCTTCTTCTTCTTCTTCTTCTTCCTCTTTCTTCTTCTTCTTCTTCTTCTTCTTCTTCTTCTTCTTCTTCTTCTTCTTCGTCTCCTCCTCCTCGTCTTCTTCTTGATGAGAGCCTACTACTCACAGGACTTTCCTGGATGTATCAGAACACAACGATTTCTGGTTTCAGTCCCAATAGTGCGAGTGTGAGAATATCCTGAGCTGATCTGAAGTTTGGAAGCTATGTTTAGGAGCTTGGTTTTGTATGCGTGTCATTTTCATGTTTTGGAACGTGTGCATGAGGTCCGACTAGATGCAACCGACATCTGATTGGTTCGGGTGTCTTTTGTTTGGCAGACTGTTGCGTCAGATGCTGTTGCAGCTGCACGTCGTCACCTTCAAGGCATTCCAGATTTGGAAAGAATGCTGGCTCGTCTGCATGCCTCCAGGTTTGGCTTGTTGTGGACCTCTTGACTGGGGGAGAGGGGACGTGCATATAACTTCCAAAACAGGAGGAAGAAAAGAACGAAAATGGGAAAAACAAAGAAAGACCAAGAATCAAAGAAAGGAGCTGATTTTCTTCCTTCACTTACTACTTGCAGACTGGTGTCGATACAGGTATATGTCGATTGTAGGTCAAACACATCCGTTCACACTTGGCAGTTACTCTTTTTGTGGTTGTTGTTGTTGTTATCCCTGGGCTCACAGACTCTGAAAAGGAACACGTTTGTGGGTGAAAGTCTCAGTTTTTAAAACCTTAGGCACTGCACAGCATTCTTGGGCATGGGACTCACGCTCTGGGGTTGTGTCCCCCTAAGCCCTAAAGTTCCTAAACCTGAATCTCTTTTCTTTCGACTGCAAATTTTAAACCCAATGAAATGTAATGACTACATTGATTAGTGCGCAGTATCTTCTTACCTGATTCACTCGTTAAACCACCAGGACATGGTCCCAGGCAACTGGAGGACCTGTTTTGAGTCTCTCCGAAAATTTAGGAGGCCGAGTGCCGTAGAAAAAATGAGTTGGTGGTGGGCGGCCTCCGAAAGGGACCCACGGCCGATAGCTGGCGTGCACTAGTGGTTTAAAGCATTGGCCATTCCATCATCTAGGTGGCGTGAATGACAATCAGTTGATACTATATATTCTACTCTTTTTTGCATATTTTCAAGAACCCAGAGCAGCAGCGAGCGGCTTTTAGTAGCTTGCCAAATTGGCAGGTTGACATGGCAGTCCATAGGGTTGGTACTCAAAATTCGTACCCACCAGTCTGGGTCACTAAGTTGTGTCTGGTTGGAACACAGCACTTTTCTGTTTGTTGTGGATTTATTCCCGACTGTGATGCTGCTGCAAGGAACATGAATGTGGACGAAGCACAGAAATCCAGATTGCAAAATCACACTGAAGTCCAAGTAGTCAAAGCAAGAGCAGATAGCACAATGGAACCGAGTAACCATTCATTTGAGAACGATACAGAAGAATCGTGAGTCAATGTCCAAGCCCAATCGGGCAACACCAACAGCATAACCCAATGTAGCTCTCTCACTTGAATGGCGCCAGGCGCCCTACCTACTCTACAGCCTATCACTACAACTACAGCATGGCAGCAACCAGACAACTTGACGACCAGCGAGTGATGATGTCAACACCAATGCCGACCTCTCCACCAGGTACGTCTCTCTCTTCTCCCTCACTCTCCCTTGTTATCCCACACAGCGCCCTTCACCTCCGAAGAACCACCTTCGCCCTTCAACTCCTCTGCGCCCACAGGCAGCCCGGCTATGGCCGCCAGCGCCCTGCGCCCAGGCTGCGCTCTACCGCTTAGCGCTAGCCTGCCCTTACTCAGCCTAGCACAGCGCAGCACACTCGCAATGCAGCAGCGTGCCGGCCTTGCTCGCAATGGCCAAGATCCCTGCCCACTCGCCCTCCCTTGAGCCTGCGCCTGGGCCCCAGTACCTGTACCCAGGCCCAATGCGGTTGGGGCCCAGGAGATGCAGTTGCGCCCCTTTCATCAAGGCCTGCGGCCAGATTCAGATAGTGGACCGGTTTCCCATTGGCATTTTCGGCCTCTATATCCAGCATGCATTGTCGGCCTCACGTTTATGTGCCCAGGGCCTAACCAACTCTGGGGCCCTGGGATTTCTGCATTTGCAGAGTTCCGATACTCGGTGCACTCCAACCAACTGGCGTGCGGCAACTGAATGGACCCCACTTCGTGAAATGTTTGATCAAAGGGCTCTTGTTGATTTGCTGTCCCGCCTTCACTTAGGGCGGGCATGAGGCTTGCTGGGGGCCTTAGCCCAGAACATGTACATCACGGCAAGGCCCCTTTGAGGGCTCAATCCTCACACTGCTAGGACCTTGGGAGAAATTCTGCTGGCAGTGGGGGAGATTAAGCTCAGATATGAGCCAATTGATTGTCAGCCATAGAACCACCAGTGCCTTTCCCAACCTATTTTGTTCCGATACTGCGGTTGACCCGCTGGATTAACAGGGTCTCCGCCTACCAGAGCAAAATGGCTGGCTGCTTATGGGCAAACGAAGGGGGACCATCAATCCGGGTTAGGAACAAGAGGCTCATAGTTGAAGAGGAGTGATGTGCACTGTTTAACAGATTGGCTGGTATCTGAGCTTTATGCTGCTGCTGATGAGATTTTGCCATCCCATCTCGCATCTCCTAGCACAGGGCATCCCGTCTTCCAAACATCGTTTTCTGAATCAAAAGCAGTGATTTTAGGTCTCCTGATTCTCCTCGCCAAATCTGTGCATGGGGAGGCGAAATATGTGGTTGTCGGCCTCACTAAATATGTTGTCGTTTCTAAAAACTGTTTATTGCTTGAGCTGGGGGATGTTTGTATACATGAACTCCAGTGCAGGGAAACGGAGAAATCAGAAAAGAGAGGCAAGAAGAAAAAAGGAAAAGGAAAAAGAAAAAGAAAAAGAAAAAGTGGATGTCTTTCCTTCCCGAGGGTAGGGAGCTATATGAGGGAGTTGATCACAGGCATTTGCTTTTTGGCCCATGCAAAATGTCTGAATGGCTCCAATGCCTCTACTCGACTGGACACGACTGCTGCTGTTGACTTGGTACTTTCATATGTGGCTGGCATATACCTAGATGCGTTAAGGCCGTGGGGCGTTCCTCAAAGTATGCTAAGGCCAATGCGAAGGTTGATGGGGTGCCCAATTCTCTAGCCCGTTTTTCCTTTCCTCCCCCCCTCCCCCCCTCCCCCCCTCCTACCTCTTTCCTAAACGTTTGTCAGCTACCCTGTCAAAATATACATAAGCTCTATTCATTGAATCTTTGAAATGAATTCGTCATGCTTATTCCCCACAATATAAAACCGTTTTGGACAGTCTTTTGAAGTCCGAATACTTTTGTGGGCTCCACATGACTCCTGCCATTTCACCCAAAACAGAAAATATTTTTTTCTTTTGTCTTTTGTTTGTTTCTTTCTTTTGAGAACAAAACAGGTCCTTATGGGCCCAGGTCCATGTCTATTCAAAGGAGCATCAGTCCGGTTCCTATACCACATGCAAGTCAAAAGAATACATAATGTACCCAGTGTTAACGCATCCCTATGGCCTGGGGATCCCTGACAGCACGTATTACTTCTTCTCAAAGGATTGACTGTCAGTTAAACCCATACATAACGACATAACTCCATTCATGTCACCTTTAGCCCCCGAAAAATCATGCGACAAAACAGAGAGTAATCCCTCTCAGTTCTTTGTAATGGACTGTCAGAATAAATTAAGTTCATTCTCAATGAAGTTGAGTAAACCTGATATACTAGGACTGTTCAATAAACCTGATATACTAGGAGAAGTGGGAGAACTCGATTATAAATGATCCCTTTTGTTTAGTCACTTTAGTGGGTTCTTTTCTTCTCGAAATAATCCAGCTGGGTGCATATTGGGCAAAACAGTATGATGCATATCCAGCAGCACATCAAAATAAGGACGGAAGAATCTGACAGGCATGGATGCGCGGTTGATGATACTATTCTCAGCTGCCCCTCTCTTTGCCTTTCACCATCTCTTTGCACCTTTTGTTCTGTATATTGCTCTTCTTCCTCCGTTTCCTTGCTCTAGCCGCCCTTCTTTTCACCCCACTATTCCTCCTCCCCTTCCTCACTCCCATAATCGATCTCTGCTTCTCTCTTACCTCTCTCTTCCATAAGTCAAGTTGTCGACATATTATCCGGCTTTGTAGTCTACTGTGGGTTGGATATAAGGCTTTTCATTAAACGCTTGGATTGCTTGATTGGTGTCTTTGTCGGTTGCAGTGGTGCTGCAGGTGGGTCTGGGCGCTTTGCTCAAAATGTTGTTTTGTATGAGGATTCCAGTAAACGACATCTTGGCCAGTTCACTTCTGTACTACGGGGATGCAGGGCCATGGTTCGAGCCATCCAAGAGTTCAAATCATGTGAAAAGGATATCTCATCTTCACTGCTACGACATCTTGTGACACCTGGTAAGTACTCCATTTGTATGGGGAAGTGCAGAGTCAGGAGTAGTCGTCTCTCACACTTCTGTCCTTGCTTCATACTGTGCCCCTGGCCCTCCTATAGTATGTGGGCGGACGGCCTCTAGAAATGTTGGATGCCAATTTTTCATGTCTGTGTTTATCGCCCAGGATTGCTGGATCATAAGGAGCCTTTTGTATACCTCTTGCCAACTTCCTGCCTCCCTCTCTCTCTCTCTCTCTTTCTCTCTCTCTCTCTCTTTCTCTCTCTCTCTCTCTTTCTCTCTCTCTCTCTCCCTCCCTCTCTCTCCCTCCCTCCCTCCCTCTCTCCCTCTCCCCTTCTCCCTCTCTATCTCCCCCTCTCCCTCTCTCTGTCTCCCCCTCTCCCTCTCCCTCTCCCTCTCTCTCTCTCGCTTATTTTTCTCATATGCTCTGTTAAATTGTGTCAACTTAATTGAAAATAACCTAAGTACTGACGCCGCCCGGCCGGGCCTGCCCGGCCAGGCGGGGCCGGTTGGGACGCCCGGGCAAACCGGGCGGACA